GAAAATTCCTGACCAGTCACCAGAATGTCCTGACAAGTCACCACAATGTCCTGGACAAGTCACCACAATGTCTGACAAGTCCACCAGAATGTCCCCTGACAAGTCACCAGAATGTCCTGACAAGTCACAGAATGTCCTGACAAGTCACAGAATGTCCTGGCAAGTCACCAGATGTCCTGACTAGTCACCAGAATGTCCATGGATAGTCACAATGTCCTGACAAGTCACCAGAATGTTCTGACAAGTCACCAGAATTTCCAGACCAGTCACCAGAATGTCCTGACAAGTCACCACAATGTCCTGACAAGTCACCACAATGTCCTGACAAGTCACCAGAATGTCCTGACAAGTCACCAGAATGTCCTGACAAGTCACCAGAATGTCCTGACAAGTCACCAGAATGTCCTGACAAGTCACCAGAATGTCCTGACAAGTCACCAGAATGTCCTGACAAGTCACCAGAATGTCCTGACTAGTCACCAGAATGTCCTGACTACTCACCAGAATGTTCTGACAAGTCACCAGAATGTCCTGACAAGGTAGGAAAACAATACTTTTTTCATGTCCTGAATTTGTTAAAATTATCTTTTAGGCTTAAGGGTTAGGTTTAGGGGTTTGGGGTTACGGTTAAGGTTAGGGTAAGGGTTAGGTTAAGGGATAGGAAAATAGGATTTTGAATGGGAATACATTTTTACTCCCCAAAAAGTTTGAAAATTCACGAAAATCCACAAGCACATAGGCAGACACACCCACAGTATAGCATATCAGAACCCTATTGCACTATGAAGGAAATAGGGTGCCATTTGGGAAAAAATGACAGTGAGTAAGAAGTCGTTATGGTCAATAGGTGTTTAGGGTATTAAAGTTACTTTTTCAAAATGCCTCTGCTGCGGTAATGACATTGTTAATGTGAGAAACCCAAGGTGACGCCAAGAGCCAAGTTCCTTAGCAATCATCTAACAATAACCCATGATGGGTGCAGTTATATCTACTTTGAGACAAATGTTTTTGCATTGCAATTACAATGTTTTAATTGCATTACAATGTTTTTCTGTAGTACAGGTTCACGTGAATGCCCCCAACTGTGTATGGCCCCTGGGATTCCCTCTCCCCTCTTTTTGCTGAGATGTGTCCAGAGGAGGACTTTTAAAGATGTTCATGTGGGATACTTTGATAGAGATGATTGGCCCAGTGTATCTCAAATTGTCGTTACAGTTGCGTTTCGACAACAGATACTGAGGTTGGCTCCCGATGGTAATATGGCAGGCCATCTTGGGGTCAACAAGACGTACGACGTATCTTGCATAACTTCTTCTGGCCTGGTCTGAAAACAGGATATTGTGGCTTACTGTGGACGGGGTAGTAAACCGAACCGAGCTGTACCAGTTGCACCTTTGCAGGGTTCTGGTGGATTGTGTTGGTCCTTTGCCCAAAGCAAAGAGTGGTAACCAGTTTCTCTTAACCATTATGTGCACTGTCACTTGTTTCCCTGAGGCCATTCCACTTTCCAGGAAAATCACGAGAGGAAAGTTAGTACGTACAGTGCATTCGGAAAGTATTCAGTCCCCATGACTTTATCTAGATTTTGTTACGTTACATCCTTATTCTAAAATTGATTAAATAAAAAAAATCCTCATCAATCTATACACAATAACCATAATGACAAAGCGAAAACAGGCTTTTAGAATTGTTATTAAAAATAAAAAACAGAAATACCTTATTTACATAAGTATTCAGACCCTTTGCGATGAGACTTGAAATTGAGCTCATGCGCATCCTGTTTTAATTGATCATCCTTGAAATGTTTCTACAACTTGATTGGAGTCCACCTGTGGTAAATACAATTGATTGGACATGATTCGGAAAGGCAACCCCTGTCTATATAAGGTCCCACAGTTGACAGTGCATGTCAGAGCAAAAACCAAGCCATGAGGTTGAAGGAATTGTCCGTAGAGCTCCGAGACAACATTGTGTCGAGGCACAGATCTGGGGAAGGGTACCAAATAATGTCTTCAGCATTGAATGTCCCCAAGAACACAATGGCCTCCTTCATTCTTAAATGGAAGAAGTTTGGAACCACCAAGACTCTTCCTAAAGCTGGCCGCCCAGCCAAACTGAGCAATCAGGTGAGAAGGGCTTTGGTCAGGGAGGTGACCAAGAAGAGATGGGAGAACCTTCCAGAAGGACAACCATCTCTGTAGCACTCCACCAATCAGGCCTTTATGGTAGAGTGGCCAGACGGAAGTCACTCCTCAGTAAAAGGCACATGACAGTCCGCTTGGAGTTTGCTAAAAGGCACCTAAAGGACTCCAAGACCATGAGAAACAAGATTCTCTGGTCTGATTAAACCAAGATTGAACTCCTTAGCCTGAATGCCAAGCGTCACGTCTGGAGGAAACCTGGCACCATCCCTACAGTGAAGCATGGTGGTGGCATCATCATGCTGTGGGGATGTTTTTCAGCTGCAGGGACTGGGAGACTAGTCAGGATCGAGGGAAAGATGAACAGAGCAAAGTACAGAGAGATCCTTGATGAAAACCTGCTCCAGAATGCTCAGGACATCAGACTGGGGCGAAGGTCACCTTCCAGCAGGACAACGACCCTAAGCAAAAAGCCAAGACAACGCAGGAATGGCTTTGGGACAAGTCTCTGAATGTCCTTGAGTGGCCCAGCCAGAGCCCGGACTTGAACCCGATCGAGCATCTCTGGAGAGACCTGAAAATAGCTGCACAGCGACGCTCCCCATCCAACCTGACAGAGCATGAGAGGATCTGCAGAGAAGAATGGGAGAAACTCCCCAAATACAGGTCTGCCAAGCTTGTAGCGTCATACCCAAGAAGACTCAAGGCTGTAGTCGCGGCCAAAGGTGCTTCAACAAAGTACTGAGTAAAGGGTCTGAATACTTATGGAAATGTATAAAAATAAATAAAACCTGTTTTGGCTTTGACGTTATGGGGTATTGTGTGTAGATTGATGAGGAGAAAAAAACAATTATATTTTAGAATAAGGCTGTAACGTAACAAAATGTGGAAAAAGTGAAGCGGTCTGAATACTTTCTGAATGCACTGTATATTGCAGGAGTTTCCCCTTGAAATCAGACATCTCCGTGGTAAGGACAACTTGGTTGCAGATTGTCTTTCAAGTGCAGGCAGTCCAATAAGTTTTGTGTTTTGTGTTTAGCCAGTGTGTAGCTCACAATTTATTTTGACTGCACGTTTTGGAGATGAGTTTTGGTTTGGTTGGGCTCGTGCCAAGGGGATGTGAGTTATAGAAAT